TTTTAATGTTTGAAATTCTTATGAATAAGGGATGAACGTGGAAGTTGGTATCGTGACCATGACGTCGGTCGATGGAAACATTTTTCAGGGACATTATTATCGTTCCGTCTGTCGCAGTCAGTGCGCGACTGGTCATAAAACAATACGATCGCGATTTAACCAAGAATCTTGAAATTTTTATTTACGACTGTGAAAACGTTGCTCGCGCTACAAATTGTGACTCTTTCTGCACGATCGTTTCAACTTCTGCTCCTGGTACGTATTATCTGACGTTTCGTATTTAAAAAGGAAAAAAAATCGTTGCGCTTTTTGTGTTCTGCCGAATCACGCGACAATTTGCGATTAACCAGCCGATTCTCGCTTCCACGCGCCGTGCAATTGTGTTCTGTGCGAAGAAAATAGCGTGAGCGTCCTTGGCAAATTATGTAAAAATAGGGACCAAGTATGAGAAAAATATAGAAATATATCCTTGATATGTTAAAAAAAGATTGGAACGCGAAATTAACATAATAAGAAATGTTAAGAATATTTATGTTCAAGGTACTCTTCAGAGAATTTATGCTCAAGTTGTATTATGATTTAACTGTAATACCACGCTAACTACGATATTATGTTAATGTTAGAATTCAGAAAATAGGATAAGATGGATTACATAAATTACGTAGAATTATGTAGTATGATATCCCATTTTCCTTTCTTCGTGTAATATAGTTGTTTAAGTTTTATAAGCGGTTAAATTTTATTATCAAATTTCAATCTACACGTATTAGCATCACGTTATACAGGCTTGTTTTTCCGGAACTAAACAGTATCCTGGCTCTTATATACTAACAAATTTCACGTGACTGAGTGAAGCTTGTTTAAGCTTCCTTTCGTCGAACATGGTTCACTCAAGAAATTTCGCAATGCCATTTTATACTGTCATTGTACGAGCGTTTTAAACATTCAGAATTGGTTATCTTACGTGGTGTCCTTATACGAAAAACGTATACAATGTGAGCGATAAGTATCTATATAATTACTTACTACGATAGCTCGTCCAAAGCCGAAATAATAATAAATAATATAATTACTTATAGACGCGTCGTTAATTGATTAACATTGGAACTACTACTAAAAGAAGAGACGAGAAACATTTTAACACATAATAAGGAAAAAACATTTTTATCCGCTTAAATCGTTTACTAAGACAGTGTAACAGAAACAGGTGCACTAAAAGTCATCAGGAATAACGAAGAGCTTTTCAAAGATCATCGATCGACGATAAATAAATAAATAATAAATAACATAAAAGAAAATACTTTCTGTAGCCACTGTAAACTCAGTTACAGACGTTTTTAACGTAATTGCCAACTAAAAGGGTGAATGTACAGTGACATTGAAACGAAACGATTAGACGTGAAACGGTTGGCAGAGCAGAGTGAATTTCAAGTTCCCCTGGCCGACTGGTCAATGCGTCGCATCGGTATATTACTATGAAGCGAAATCCTCGATTTATTGGCTCGACCCACGCAGCCTGTGCTGTACCAGCGACAACTACCTTAATTAAGTTTACCTTCGTTAAAGGCCTGATTCAGTGTTCCCCGTGAACATCCGCCGCCTGCAGCGCTGTCCCTTCTGCTTTCACCGATCTGCATCCTTCCCCTCGAGACTCGTCCAGCCTTGCTTCGATCGTGAATAATTCGTTTTAGAGGTCCGATTTAGCGGTCTTAGTCCGATATATCTCGCTTGTCTGTACGAAATGTAAAAGAAAAGTCTCCTATTCTTGCCGCGTGCAATGAAATTCCATTGTAGATGACTTGGAAAATTAAAGCTTCTACATGGGAAAGTATAGCGGCAAATATTGGACGATAGCGTCGAATTTATTAAATTTTAAGCTTGTAACATTTCTTACGTCGCGCGAAAATTATTGCATAATTTTTCCTGCGATCCTATGTTCAACTAGTTGGAATTTTATATAAATATCGGATTAATTTAAATAAGTAAAATTATTAAAGCGATACACACGAAGACGAAGATGTACAAGCGATCATACTTTTGTTCGAATGAAATGGAAATTAACGACAATGGTATTCCGGCGTTAAACAATCCTTTTAGTCCTTTTATCGTATAATACGCTAATTTTATGGCGAGAATGTGTAATTTAAAATTGTTAAATATCCTGTAGAATACGTGAAAACTTTTATGGATGCTTGTATCGTATTTTGAAACTGACCTTCTTGCTCGCAGAAATTCACATATCAAATTTGATTTTACACCATCCAACTTGTTTTCCTTTTCTTCGACGCTTTTCTTCGTCTCTTCTATCCCGCGGATGACATCGTATATGTGTGAGTATATTTGCAGCTACGATCACAGGTTGGAAACTTGGTGCACGAAGTTACTCGAAGCTTCGATCACTTCCCCGACTATTTATTTTGAAGACTGTGCAAACGTTGGAAACGTCGAACGTTTGAAGAGAGAAATCCCTTGAAGATCGGCTATTTCCTTGCTTCTACACGCCTCCAAATGTAAAGCGTATTAAACGTAACATGATCGGCAATTTCTCTCGTTCAATTTTATGCCTCGACAAAGCGGAGTCTGTGGTTCCTTTTCTAAATAAAAATCGTAACGTGGATTAATATACAATTATAGTTAACGTTTTCCTAGGCTACAGACAATTTCCATCCAATAATCGATAATTCTAAAGAATCATGGAAGAGACTTGAACGAAACTAGAATTCAATTTCGTTTTATATCGAGAAATTGTTAGTCATTTCGACGTTCAAGAATAAATGAGAATTTCGAAATATTAAACAATTTTTCGGTACAGTTAATTTATTTGTTGGTTAATTTATTTAAATGGTAACCATTTGTCAGTGGTTCTACGCCGAACGTACAATTATCTGTATTTATAACAAATCAGCGAACAAAAATCTTCCGCGTTACTGTGTAGAAAATAAATGATCCTCTTTCACCTACATCGACGAAGATATTCTAAAAATAAATTTCTGAACCACTTGGAAAGTTTGGCAGAGAATAGGAACGGCCGTAAAAATCCAAGCTGTAATACCGAATCTCCGAATCGTAGTTTGCTAAACGTCAGCCCCGAACTCGAGCATTTATGCCAACCGTTATAACCCAGTTACATTGCCTGACCACCTGTATACTTCTACTACTGACGGTCTGACCACCGCAGAGGTTTGCGTGTCGCAGGTCGTTACAGCTCACCTACATGTATACCAAGGAGCCTGTATTTCTACGTATGTACAAAAGGTGTTAATAAAAAATGTATTCAGTTTTTGGAAGGTCGTGTATCTATATATAGCTGTGTACAAGGGTGGAACAAAATAATGGAATAGAAAAATCTTATACATTATGTACGTATATGACATATAACAGGCTTTTCTGTTATTAAATAATAAATTATGTATATACAATATTGTATGATTGATGATTTTCTGCTCCTAAATTTCGTAGACATCATATATATTTATATATATGTGATCTATTGCAATTTAGGAGTAGAACATGTGTATCATACATACATGTTCGATCAGTTTCTTGCGCGCTCAACGAGTCCGCTCAGTAACAAACGACGTGTCATAAACTTCGACACCAGATGAAAACTCAGCGACAGACTATCGTTGGAAATTGAACAGTCACTGAATTTAACAGACCCAGATTGCCACTTTACAGGAAACATTGAGCAAAATCCACCCCATGGACACTTAGAATATAAGCACCAGGTGCCTCCAGAAAGTTACCCCGATGTTCAACACGCTCGCTTACGTTTGAACTCTCTCACTGACGTTTCTTGTTTCTTACGTTTATACTAAATACTTGAAATAAACGTACAAATCGCAAGTATACTAGAAATCTTTAATCTCTCTTCGCCTTCAGCGTTAATTATTACGTCGTCCGAAAAGTTCCTTTCTCTTTATAAGGAAATAGTGGATGCACAATATTTTCTGTTTTATATTATTTTATTGAATTACGTATGGTCGATTTTGTTCTATCATAATAAAGATCTCAACGTTCGACAGATTAGGTTTCGTGTTTGCATAAATATTACAATACAAATTATACAAATGTATAAATATATTAGGTTCGGATAACCTAATATAAGATATTGGAAACAGCTGTTATATGTCATATACATATATGACGTATATACGTGTAACATGTTTCCATTATTTTGTTTAATAGTGTATGTGGATATGTATATATAAATGGATATGTATATATAAATACATGTGGATATGTATATATGTATATATAAATAGAACCACGACCTTCGAAAAGGGGAATTCATTTTTTATCAACATCTTATTAACGCCTGTACATCTGTAACACGTATGGCATGTATGTTTCTTGTTACACGAAAGTTCGCGTGCCCGCCAATCGTACCACCGAAACGTACAATACAATACGAGGAAACGAAAGTTTAAAAGGCTTGAAATATCAAAAAATCGTGATACTATAGTAATTTCGCTGTGTAATTTTACTTTTAAGACGTTGCTTTATTTGACAAGAATATTATAATTATAAATAGATGATCAGTAACAACGTTTAAATTGTCACGTCCACCGTATATCAACCGTATAGCTGAAAACGCTATGTCGCGTAAGTATTAGGTTGTCCGAAAAGTTTCTTTCGTTGCATAAGGTGATATTAGGAGAACAACAATTTCTGTTTTATATTATTTTACTGAATTAGGTATCATCCATATCGTTATATTTCTATTATTATGTTCGTTCAATAAACTAATATAAAACAAAAAAAACATTATGTGTCTATTATTTACTTATAAAACGAAAGAAACTTTTCGGACGACCTAATACCAAGACCAGCCTTTTCTCAAACTGTGCTAATCACCCAAACTGGCCCTTATTCTGCAAGTTCCCATTCGATCGTGAATGCTCCGCGATCCATGGACGATAGCCCACGTTCTGGCTCGTAAAATTTTCCATCGAGAAGATGCGTCATTTCCCGTACACCCGGTAGATCCACGTCGAAAGGGATTTTGTCACGCGATGGCCAGCCGGCCAGCTCGAGAGACTCGGTTCTCGATTAAAACAGGGACTATCGAGCGGCCTACGTCGCCTTTTGCACACCGTGTCCCCGTAACGTGTTACAAAACGCGAAAACGAATCTCTCCGTCTGTTTCTGTGACGCGACGTCGGCCCAATTCGCGTGTGCCAAGTGTTGTTTCCGCGATCCCCACAATTTTTTTTCCTTCCCTTTCGACACGATTCTCCAAAGGAGGTGAACGACCAGGCGTTGTCCTCGTCGCGTTGTTAACGACGGACAAGAGTTTGCTTCGCAGAGGACTCTCGGAAGGGAAAAAGGCAGGTTTGTTTCCGTGTTGTGCGTGTTGTACACGGAAAGGTGTGTTTGCTTTGCTGGCGGTAAGTCGAAGGGATGTTTATTAGTTGTGAGAGGGTGTTTCTCTTTTTTGACGAAGGGTGGATGTACACCGGGAGATTGTAATTTTTGATAGACTTCAGGACGAATGTCGTGTTGTTTGTAATTGGTGTGTGTGTGTGTGTGTGTTATCAGGGATTGAGAACGTCTCGTTTGATGGACGCGGTATTTTTAGATTACGCGACAGAGAATGCTTAATGCGAAGCTTCAATTAAAAGAATTAACGTAGAGATGGTGGTTGTAGCGGTTGATGAGCATTCTGCGGATACGTACGCAAATTCGTATTTTTATGGACAGAATGGAAACGAATGGTACGTTGTACGTTGCAAATATTATGCTTTCGATGTGTTCTATATTTTCGCGTGAAACCTGGATATGTTTTATACGTGTAATGTAGACAGTGATACAGACCGTAAGTGGCCTGTACTGCATGTTGTTAGAAGAATATGTGTGTGTGTATTGAGAGAGAGAGAGAAATTGGAATAAAGCGAGCCTTTGTGGAAAACACATGGAAGAGAAAAAGATTGAGGAAGACAGTTGTAGTATTGTAAAATAAAGAGCAGCTTTTTGTTTCGAAAGTTTATTTATTTATTTGTTATTTATATGTATTTAGGCTCTTTTGTGTGTGCAGTAAGAGATATAGATATAAAACATGATTCTTTATTTCGCTTATTTATGAAATAGGAGAATCGATACGGTTACGTAAGGCCACTAGCCTGAATAATTACTGCGAAGAATCAACGTATATCTCGGATATCGTAAAACTATTATTTCAAAACTAGCGTGCCATCTACTCGAGAACGATGCACCCGAAACTGGCTCTGGAAAACGAATCTTCGCCAACAACCCCATTTAAACGGGCCTCCTCTGCAGCTTTATCCTCAGTCGTTGCGAAAGTTGTCTATCGCAACGATTTCCTAATCGTCCAGTGGACATGCAGACGCTCGTCCATCCACGCGATTATGCAAATTAGCCGTGTCGATGCAGAATCGTTGTTCGGATTCGAGGGGTCGTTAAATGGCTACAGCTTGCAACGAGATCGGCGGTTCTAGTTGGCAGAGTGGAGGGCAGACACTCGTCTCCTGGCACGTTTACAGGCCGATGGAAAAAGTTTTATCGTATTCATGGGACGAAGAACGATCGTCGTCGAGGCGAGTCCAGCTTACGAACTCTGAAATCGATTCGATCGTTTCCAAAACGGATACGACGTTCATTATCTCCTCGTCGTCCATCGACCTCGTAAAAACTTGCCGAAGAAATCACTTTTAACCGCGTTTATGCTCAGCCAGCTTAGATTTCTCGAAATTTCCTGGAGATATCGAGCAAGAACTACGACCCTGGGAACCCGCACCGTCGTCGTTACACGTCGTTTGCCAAATTATAAGGTCGAGAGGTAACTCGGGCAAACGTTCATTTAGTTTAGATACTGAAGAGCTCGTAGCGATGTCGTTAGACCTTGTTACCGTAAATGCTACGTTTCACGTCCACGTATTAATAACCGTTGTTGTAAGCTGCAATGTAACTGAAAGTGGAGCGACAAGAACAATGCGAAAATCATGACCGCTGCTGTAAGCTTTGTTGCAAATACCCTAACAATAACGATCTTCTGGTATTTTATGTTTCGATGTCGACGTAACGCGGAAAGCTGGCATAATCAGGGTGTCGCCATAAATGTGGAAATTTCAAACATTGTTCGCGTAATACGTACACGGTTTACATTAATTAAATATACAGTTAACTCGTGTTCGATATCGCTACATAGATAACATAGCATTGTCTATTAAACACTTTGACCGCCACGTGGAAATCACATGTTTCGCTCAGGACGCCACGGGAGTATTTTTATTAATCAAAACATATGACAAAATATTAATAACTTCGTGTAAGACAACTTTCTTCCCCAATGGACCGTTTATCCTATTGATGGTCACGGGTGACCAACGTGGCGCCTTGGTAACATTTGATAGCGACATATCATAACAAGGTTTTGTTTATTTCAACAAACCATTTGTTACCATAGATACTGCGCGTAAGAAAACAAAATAAATAGTGTATTGAGATATATGTAATTTTGCGTGTCACACTGCATTAGCTGCGTAGTGGTGACACACGTATATGAGTATGAGTGTATGTGGGAGTATGTACGTGCGTAGCGTCTCGTAGAACAAAATAAGCATAGCGGTAAAAAGATGCTGAGACAAGAAGAATGCTGAGACAATGCTGCAATGGGTATCTACGAATATCTTGTAAATCGCGTATTAAATAAATATAAAACAATTTTCATATTATTTCTACGTGTAATGTGAATATTCCTATACATTTATTTCGGCGACTAACGTTCACAATTCTCAACAGGATGAATAAACAAATAGAATATATATAGAATGTCGATATGAAAAGGATACGAAAAAGATATCGTAGAAAATATACGAACAAATTCTATAGATTATTTCGGTATTTCCGTAATTATAAGCAAAACTACTAGATATTTTCATTGTTATCGTTAATTATCAGCTTCGTTGCTTTACCATTATCGCTGTCGATGTTATTACGATACGAGACACGCGATTATCTCTGTTAAACGATAGATTCGTTTGTTGAGTTATCGCACGGTATGCGTAAAGGCCGCCTGCTACTCGAGAAGAAGAAAGTCTCTGCGATATAACGTAATCCCAGGTATTTCGACATTCTGCGTAGAAGTTGGCGTTCCAATTTCAAAGTAGCCGCATTAAAGGCAAACACAATTAGTGGGACACGGCCCAGTCGAAAGTTTACACACGGCCACGCAAAAATCGCGGAATACGAGGCGGGTAAACACGAAGAGGAATATGGCAAACGCAAAAGGTTTCCGGCGAGTCGTCGAGCGGACTTAATGGGGGCGTGGATCGATATTGACCCCGGTTTACACGGGCAATTTTTTCGCCATCGCTGACATGCTCCCGTCAAAGCTTTGTGTCGCCATACTTTGCCAACTAATTAATAACTCGTCGTACTTTTTACCTGTACGCTTGTTCGCATCGTAATTAAAAGAAGTGAAATTATATCGAGCCATAAGAAACGAAATATGGTACGGTAGTAAGTGAAACAGAAGTTTCAACGAATAATTACCCTACAAGTTTGTTTTCCGTTACATTGTATAACGCTTCTGCGTTTTCTACTGCAGCAAAATATCGCGTTTCGATGGAAATTATTATGTAAAATGAATGTATATAAACGATAGTATGGAATATACGAGAATAATTATAATATAATAAAATATAATTCGATATTTAAATATATATACTACGTATATGATATAGGAAAGTTTTGAAATTGCATTTACTGTATTTTTAACGATTGGTGTAACGCATAAAGAGAAATTACGATTGTTAATAATTACGTGAACGTAAAATACGAGAAGGTGTAATTATTTTGGACGAAGCGAGCAAAAACTTTAGTAATCGGAATCGACCATACGCATTCCTAGAAAGAGGAAGGGAGAGGTAAGAATGAATAGCTACAAGGAAACTTCTTAGTTCGAAATCTTCAGAAAAATTTAGCAATATACATGAAATATGCGTTTCGTGCTTCGATCCAAAAGCTTTCACGCAAATTGAAAGATAGAACGCGCATCGGAGTGAGCCGGACGCTCCTTGAAACGAGTAGAAGAAGGAGACCTTCTTGCGCAGCCTGCAAGAAGATTCTTCGGAATTTCAAAGCGAAACGCAAACATCGGCAAAGTTTCGCGTGGATGGCCGTCGATAATGATTCTGGCCAGTCTCGAAGAGGATGTCTTTGTGATTCGTCCTCGACGAACGATTTTATCCGAAATCACAAGCCCCGTAATGACTCGGTGTGGCCTGGTAGTCGAAGCGTTCCAGTTTTTTTTTCTCTTTTTTTCTTCTCGGGGCAGGAAAAACCGATGGAAACTGATTACTCGTGGAGAAAATGCGACGGGAAATCGATAGCCGGCCGATGCGTGGAACGACGCTCGTTTTCAACGACTTCTGGAGCCTTTTGACGTTGAAACAGGGGTCGTGGCTCTGATATATCCAGGACAAGAGGAAATCGTTTTCATTTCCAATGGAACGAGCCTTCGTATTCCCTGCGCGATGGAAAATGCCTTTTCTCTAGTTATTCCGTCACGTACAACGGAGAATCTCTGTTAACCTCGAAGCGATATAATTCTCTTCGTTATGTCTGCTCGTTCGGGATTAGCCCCTTAGAGGGGGAGGGGGCGGATTCTCGCGTGACGACGACAAAAGCCAGCGAATTTCACGAATTTTTTTTTTACTCCAACTACTAGTTACACGGAACTGGACGTTTTCCTGGGACGTAGATATAATCTCGAGGTACAAATGTAATTTTCTTTTTTATATCTCGATTCTTTTTATCGTTTATCAACTTTTTTAGGCGCAACGTTCAATAACTTTTTTAAACCGGCGTGCGCGATAATTGAAAAAGTAATTGCTCCATCAATTTCGAACAAAACTCATTCGCTTGGATTGCAAATCGGTCCTGGGAGATTGAAGCTGGAATTTCTACTCGATTATTTTCTAATATTCTTTTTAAACAACGTACGCTCTATTTATCTGTCAGAGAAGACGTTGGAGATTTGTTGGAACAAATAGGCGCGATGTCAGCGTGAAGTATCTAACGTTAAGAAAAATCTCTTTGCTTTTGCGTTCTGATAGCAGTGACAGATACCATACTGTACGCCAACGATGGTTACATTATAAAAGATGATCGCCGGGCTCGTATCACATGCAACAAACGATAAGGAGAAGTGAAATAAAAAGAGTTACTTCAACGCTTTTGCACTTCAACGCCATTTACTTACACGCCAGAAACGTCTAGACTCGTAGAGACAGCAGTTAGTCGATGGAAAAAATCATGAAAATGACTTGCTTTTATCCTTGTTACCTCTGAAACGTTTCTTAACACTCGCGACAATATAAGAAATGAGCACAGCTGATCGTCCAAAATGCACAATCCTGTACAAGACATAAGTACAATTAGCCAGTCGTTTTATTTTTCACAAAATTTTTCACCAATTTTCACAAAACATTTTAACCAATTTTTCTACTAATAAATGTATTGTGTTAGCAACTAAGCGATTGCGGATTTTGTCAATGCCACCTAATGACAAAATCCACAATCTGTTAGTTGCCAATCAAATATTTACAGAAACATATGCTACTTTTCGCTTCCTGCTTTGCGTTTCACGCCTACTTTGCGTATCAAAAACTAGTAAAATTAGCACGTGGACCGTTGATTTTGAAAGTGGTGCGAGTCCATCTTCCTTCGTTTCGAGATGTTGAAGCGTCCGCGTTTCCATCGATCGAAAAATATTGATACGCTCTACTTGGTTTGTCCACTTCTCTGCAATGTATTTAAGTAGACCTGAACTCAATATACGAACAATTTCCTTCTTTTTCTTTGAGAATTAGCCAGGCCAGTGTCTTCCTTCTGCATCAGAAACGAACCTGAACACGTTCGAAATTAGTGAATCGTTGAACTGATTAAATTTTAATCGTTCAAAGTGTAACGTGTTTTGTGTAACGAAATTTTCTTTCGTGGGTAGATAAGAGCCGAGAAAGCAAACTACCGCTGTTTAATTTCCATATCGTTTGTTTTTTATTCTACTGATGCGACGACTGTTCGAGGAAACTGTAGATCGCAGGAAATGAACTCGCACCGCATATCGAAATAAATGATTACGCATTAGCAATTTTGCGATTGCGTTTTTTATCGAAATTTCAATCGAACAAAACAAAGGAATATTCTAAAATGTAAATCGTGCGTTGTTTATGAATAAAAAGTTCACGTTGAAATATCCTTCATGAAATACATTCATTGAAATACATTTTTCGCTTTCTCTATTTTTTTTCGAAAAATGTACTCGACCTGCAATTCGAAATGAGCGGCTCGTATAATGTATCGGAAGTACAGAAATTTAATAAAATAAGATGAAGGTAAGATATGGAAAATTACAGAAAAATATGTTGCTATACTACGACCGAGGAACAATTGCGTTAGAGAAAATCGTGTATTTTGACAGATTAGGTCGAAAACAATTGTAAAAGGATTAATTGTAATTCCCTCACTATTGGTATAGTATTTTAATATGCTGCCTTCTTTCGAGCTTCTTTCTTATCTTTTTAATATCAAAAGGTATCTCAAGTTTGAACAAAACACGGAAGAAATGTCATTGATACGTTTGATTTGCCGTTTCAATTTTTTGTTGAACATTTTCTTAAGGCATTGAAAATTTTCCTTATTTTCTATAAAAATATATATATCCTACAATATAGATTAGAATATAAAAATTCGAGGATAGCAGAACGGTTAATAATAAGTATTAATTAATAATCGAAGCGTTTGAGGACATTTTATCGAGTAATAAAAATTAAAGGTACAACGATCGAATTGTTCGATCGTTCGTGGGAAGAGAATTTTTTTTTTCTTTAATTTTATAAATGGAACGTCGTTCGTAACTAATGAGAATCGAGTTGCTTGCCATTACTCTTGATTATTCAAATATTATTGGTAAAATACGTTGAGAAGTAATGTGTCGTAAACGCGATTCCACTCTCGGCTCACGTACGGTTTCATTCCCGGAGGGAAACGTCGGGATTTAATACCGAAAACGTTTCTGGCATCGAAAAGGGTTACAAATCAGCCCTCGACACGCAACTAACTTTTTCATCGACCGAGTCTCAGGAGCTCGTAAATCGATGACAGATATGATACTGAGAAATATGTGTAATTATCGGAATAATGTCATTGTTCCTTTAGAAACCTTCCGGGGACTTTCTATTTTACATTTATGAACAAATATTATGATACATATATCGAAGATATAGAAACGAGAAGTTTCCAACTATATTTTGACGTATCAATGAAAATTGAATCAATAATATTTCATTCTCAAAATTTTACTGTACAAATATTTTGACTATAAAATGTATTTTTTATTTATATATATACTAAATAATTAGCAATTAAATAAAGTGATGAAATAGTTCTAATAAACTATAATATATAATGTGGCTATTGAACGACTGAATTTCATCGGTTTTCTATATTTTTCAAATGGAAATTTAATCCCTATCAGAGAATTCAATTCTGAATTTGATTAAAAACACTGGACGAATGAAAATAATTATTCTAATAGATAAATAACTTTTTATACTAATTCCACATATAAATATTCCCTTTTCCTTTCTTCTCCTTCTGGTATCTTATCATTTTCATTTATCTTCTTAGCCATCTCCATCGACTTCTTCTTCCTCCTCCACTTCCTCTTCTATCTCTTCTTCTTCTACCTCTCCGTCATTTTCTTCTTTCTTCTGTTTCTTCGTTTCGTCATTTTTCCCCTAAACGTAAAGCAACGATCATACGTTCGAGCTTTCGGTGAATATTTCTATCTCGAGGTTCTCAGTCGAAACGACGTTAATTCAGCTTAATTTCACGTTCGTAGTCAATTTTTACGAAATGTGCTAACGAATGGCATACCTTTTCGTGTTGTTACAGGAGCAAGCCGAAAACCTTCGCGTTCGATCATTGTTTCTATTCCCTGGACCCGGCCGTGGAAAACTTTGCGAATCAAGATGTGGTGTTCGACGCCCTGGGTCGCGACATTTTGGACAATGCGTTCCAAGGTTACAACGCCTGCATTTTCGCCTACGGTCAAACCGGTGAGACAACATATCATCAATATACCGATTAACCATAGAACCAACGTAACAGAATATATTTTACGATACGAAGATCGAGTTGAGCTTTGCTAAATGAAACTCTACGTACGCACATAAATTGTCGTACCCTGTACCTGTCATTGGTGATTTGCGTTAGCGATATCTGACGGAATCTAGCGGATTCTCCTGCGAGGCGACATAGATTTAGTGAAGGGAATTGGGATTTATAGGTAGCATCAGATAGTGATAGATTTAACTGAACCTAACCCGAGGCAAACCTAACTTCTTGCTTCCTGATGTTATCTAGTACGATGTTTAGATAATCTGCTAGCTTTCCTGTAACGTAGGTTTGCTAAAAGGAATCCGAATCTGTGGCTAAGTTACACACGACGGTGTAACTAATTTTAAACTTAATTCGAACTTTACGTAGCAGCGTTCGAAATATCTTTGGAGTTTCGAAATATTAGATCGTCGTAAGAGTTTCTTGTCTTGTAATAAGGAAATAATAGATGCAGCACATTTTTTCTTTTATATTAATTTATCGAATCACGTTGGATCCATTTTGCAGTAATAGAAGAAACGAGAGAATCTTTTGCAAGAATCTAACATGGATATTTTATATTGTTACGAGCCGTGTCTACGCGATTTTATTATTTAAATACCTGCTACGGTATAGCCATTCCTATTTGAACATTCATTTTCAAAATACCGAAGGTTTTCTTATCCGAAGATAATATTAGCTTGTCCGAAACGTGTCTTTCTTTCGCAAACGTGTTTCTTACAGCAATGCACCTTCGTAGAAACGTGAAACCGAGTCTGTGAAATGTCGCTGTGTTTATCTCAACAGAACAAAATGGATAATAATATAAAGCAAAAAACGTCGTGCGTCTATTATTTCCTCAAAAAAACGAAAGAAACTTTTCAGACAACCTAATATTTCCCAGTTGCGGATTTTTCCCTTTCGGATATGGACATATTTCATTGACGTTCGCATATACAGTGTATTCTTCTCTTCGTTCGAATCGAAACAAATTTCGATTATATTGTAGATAATTTAGAAACTGGTAATAAATAACGTGATAGGTTATACGGGTTTAACATTTCGACCTTGATTTCACGGTCCTTCGGACAGCCACACCCAACGTAACACGTAGCTGATTAAACTCCCTTCACGTGGAACGTTTCCACGTACTTACTTTGATCAGATTCTGGTTTCATTAACATTGCACAAGCGTGTCGCATTACGGATTTGTCGCCTCGCTGTGGTCTTTAAGTCTCTCCGTTCCGACGAGATCGTCATTAATCGGCAAGAATCTGATTATTTACCGTTCGTTGCATAGCGAATGCAGCATTGATGTTCGCGTGACTGCCAACGAGACTACGGACGTTCGTGCGATTTTATGTTCTCGCGAACGTAATTAGAGAAAAAAGTGTCTAAATAGAAATTTGTTCGAGTCTGCTAAATATCGCGACGAGTACGTTGCTCCGGATATTTTTTTCTAATTTTCCGTATCGCGTGCTGCCTGTAGATTTTTCCGCCACGACTTTCCTTCTTCGCCCTGACACGAACTTTTATTTCAAAATTCCCCGGTGAAAAGGACAAACAAGAAAAAGCCAAGCGTCGATTGTGATCTCAATGATTCGTAGATCTTGAAACGCGCAATGAATTTATTCGCTCGACGTGAATTTTGATTCTGAACATTTTTAAGCGTCCTTTTTTCGCGAGAGACGAAAAGGCAGCTGGTTTTTATGCTGCGTTTAAATCCGAGAGAGAATAGCACGGAGAGAAGCAGCGTCGATTAGAGTCCGGCCATGCGCTTAAAAGCGCACGGGTTGAGGATTAAGGAAATAATGCCGCCAATTGAAAGACAGAGGGAAATAATAGCGCGTGATAACAGAAATTTATGCACTGGCGTGAACTGTAGTTTGGTTATCACAGTTAATTGAAAGTTGGCAAAGAAGGTTCGCTGATTTTCAAAACGCAACGCTACGACGCAATATTCGAAGAACCCTGAAGACGACGAGGGAAGAAATAAAACTAATATAAGAAATAATCTAATGACAGGAAAGGTAACGATAATTACTATACAATTGACACGAGTTATGTGGCACTGGTACTATTTATGACCAAACAATTTGTTTAATATTGTAAAAGTTTGTAAAAGTCTACTGTACAGGAGTCTGTAGTCGCTAGCAGGCTTCAGAGGAGGACGTGACTCTAAATAAGTAAAGATAAAAAAAGAAAGAAGGAATATTTCTAAACTTCGATAGCGTAGAAAGCATAATGGAAAAATTCACGATAACAAAAATATACGTCGTCCATTATAAAGAGTACACCTTTAGAACTTAGCGTTTGCGGAAAACTTCACTCAATTTGTGTTTCACGGAGATTAGATAAAAAGCAAACAACCTTTTCAAATTATCGATGTATCTGAAGGTCTGAAGCGAAACTACACAACTTGTGAATGACAGTGTATACCGCGCAAACTTTTTTTTTATTTAAAACGTCGTTTATCGGCATCTATGAACTATATACGCTGGAAACTGCGCTGTAAACGCTCAAACATGAGAAAAGAAGCGAAAAAGGTCAAAAGGAAGCAAAGCAGCGTGAAATGTACAGTGCAGAAGAAGAACAACGACCAGAAGCGAAAACGAGCAGAAAAAGGGGAAACGAAGGAAAAAGAAGAAAAGGAACGCGAGGAATAGAAATAGAAGGCAAAGATAAAGAACGAAAATGTGCAAGATAATGGAAGGAAAAACGTGATAGAAAATGTCTAATCTCCGACCAAATGAGGCACCAAGCGAAAGAAACGCCTGTTACTGATTTTCTACGTCGTTCAACATCCACGTTCACCGTTTTCATCTAACGTTTTATTTCTGCCGATAAGGCGAGAACATGGTTCCACCCCGTGAACACGATCACCGTCATCCGCTTTTGCGCGACGAATAACACAATTAGAGGGGTCGACACCGATAAAACGCGAACAGTATGAGCAAGGTTCACCTTACAGAGACATTGGCCCCTTTTCTCTTTTTCCTTCTGCTTTTAAAGCGAATTAACCAAATGGAATCGAAGTGGAAATGTCCTTTTTTTTTTATTTCGGTTATTTCTCTTTACAATTTGTTCGATTGGACATTCGAAGAATTCTTCCAGCTATGAATTACCACTTGGGTGACTATCCTCGGTAGGATTTCATCTTGCTAATGCAACACGTATCCCATGGGAGTTCCATAACAAGTCAGTACACATTCACAGGTACACACATGCTTTGAGTTTTGCGAACGGTCGCAGTATGAGCGCAACTATCACATGCTTTGTGACATGTCTATGTAATCTTGCCGACCTCCTGGGCACAATCGGTACACTCACTGGGCCTCCCCCCGAATTATTCTCACTCGTTAAATTGTCCATGAAGTAGTCAGTCTCCCCTTCATCGTTTTCGCCATCACTTTGTGTTTCGACGTCAGTCCGCTCCCCTTCCAAGTTCAAAATTTTCTACGTCCCATATCCATTCTGAGGACCTCCTTTTTATATTGCTCGTGTCCATCTTAACACTCTTGTAGGGAAACGTATTCTCCTCGAACCTGACATGACAAGATATTATTACTTTCTTGGTCTTTAGCAGGTAAATCCTATAGCCTTTGACCTGTCTGTCGTATCCTACAAATATCCCCTCATCTGCCCTAGTAACATGTATAGCTTATACAGAATTGATCCTAGAAGGTTTCTCTGAAGATTTTCCTCCTGCTGTAACTCAATCGCCCTAATTTTCCAGTATGCGTCTTTGACTCCTGCCATAAATCTTTCCATTGCTCGCGTACGATTTAAGTAAGCGATACATTTGCCTTGGACAATGATTTTTAATTACTCGCGGTAGCCTCTCGCGCCAGACCTTGTCGAATAAGTTTTAGCCCTCTCGATATCCAGGAAGAAAATAGAAATTCGTTTCACCTTCTGAATATTATAATACGTAACGCTGTACTTTGCATACTTTGTGCCTATCATTTTTACGTATTGCGTGTATCTTTTACAATTTAATTTCCCTCTAGCGCATAATAAATCCACATTATCCGCTGCTTATAACAAATCGCTTCGGTTAGGATGTTCCGTATATTTTTCCATGTCACGCGTACTCTATCATTTTTCCATATTTAAATTTCCTATAAATGCAATAGATATTCGCATAGTCACGATAGCAATGCCTCTCCCTTTCGAGGAGAGGCATTGACCCTAGCGTGGGCGATGACGACGTCGACGACGACGACGAATGTTGAACTTCCCTCGACGTTCAATTACTGCCGCGATGTTAAAAAGGAGGGTGAACAAGAAAGAGAAAAAAAAGAAAAAAGGAACAAGATTACGCACTTCTAAAGACTCTCGCGTCTTCTCGCACTTAGCTGCTCGCTTGTCATCGATCAATCGGATTGCACCTCTCCTCTGCTCATCGTCTCAAGGGATTATAGCAGGATAGAATGCTTGTACGTCTTATGAGAAGTTGTAGATGAGAATGCGAACTTAAACCTGTTAACGTTCGAGGAAACAATGGTGTCAATTGGGGGTTAAAAGCCTGTTGGAGGATGGTTCGCTGTTGATCGTCGCGGTCTTACAGGTTTCTTCGAGAGCCGACGATTTAAAGGAAGATTTACAAGTTAATAATGGGGTGAAAAAGTATGTTTGCATTATGAGAATCGTCGAGAATATCGATTATGGTTTCTGTCCATGGAAGAGTGGTCTGTCGGTGATCGGAGCAGCGTCAGTTTCCTTGAAAGTGATTGGAACTAAAAGGAGACTTGGACGTTAACGATGGGCAGGAAGATGTGTTTGACGTGGAAATTTGAATACGCGTAATTGAAAATTAATTGAGTTCACCGAAGGGTGATCTGCCTTGGTTTGCGCGATTCATCGTCTTGCGATTTTTCGACAGGATTTGAATTGGAACACGTTTCATCTATAAAATTTTATGAAATCCAGTTACAGTCTGAGTGGATCATAGTCGTGGTCCGACTAAAATATATTCTACTACTAACGTGCTTCGATTCGAACTCTGACCTTAGTCGCAACTTTATAGACCAGGAATTATTCAAATTTTGCTATGGTTCATCAGGTTCGCGTTCTACGTTTGAAACTGACCATTAGTCCATCCTCCGCTCGGTCCTGATAACATCTAAACGCCAACCCTCGCTCAATTACTTCATTTACATAACTCGCCCTGTGGCTAAACATTTCCAAAGAAGAGAAGTCATAAAGCCTGGCAAAAATTACGGGATGTCTCTTATCTCATCAAGGTGTAGTCGTTTTATCGCCGAGATATAACTTCTCGCAAAGACAATCCTTTTAGCCCGTTTCACTAACTCTGAGTCTGTGTATAATAACGAGAAACAACAGGATTTTCAAGATCGATGTACGTGTCTCATACAAGTCACAAACTTCGGGAGAAAAGATTCAGCTTCGATTTCAATTTTTCAATTCCATTACTTTGGCAAATTCTCTCGTCGAACATCTGTCGAAATGAAAAGAATTAATCAATATTAATAAAAATAGAATTTTAATATTATTATAATAAACAATGAATAATATATTAAATTAAAATATGAATAAAAAATTTAACGAATTCTTCCACAGGTTTATACATTAGGTTGTCCAAAAAGTTTCTTTCGTTTCATAAGGCGATGATAGATGGACCAGAATTTCTGTTTTATACTATTTTATTGAATTAAGCGTAATTCATTTCGTTCTATTTCTATTATTATGTTCGTGCACAATTCAATAAACAAGAAAATATTGTGCGTCTATTATTTCCTTATAAAACGAAAGAAACTTTTCCTTATAAAACGAAAGAAACTTTTCGGTCAACCTAATAGATACGATCGATCCGATGGTCTGCATTTTTTAACGATTGATCCAAGTTAATAAGAAAGCCAATTTTGTAAAAAGGGTCCGGGAAATCGTACACGATGATGGGAAGCGGCGAGAACAAAGGTATCATACCACGGCTGTGCGACAACCTCTTCGACATGATCGCGAAGCAGCAGAGCTCGGAGCTTACTTACAAAGTCGAGGTTTCCTATATGGAGATCTACAACGAGAAGGTGCACGATCTGCTCGATCCAAAGCCGAACAAACAGTCGCTGAAAGTCAGGGAACACAATGTCCTGGGCCCGTACGTGGATGGACTTAGTCAGCTCGCCGTCACATCCTTTCAGGTAAGGGAAGATTTATCGATATTCGTCCCGTCCTTTTTAATCATTCCTTTTGTGTGCGCATAAAGCATCGAAATATTAAGTTAGTAAGTGCCTGAAACTCCTGGTAAGTAAAGTAACGAAGAAAGTAAAATTGAGAATTTTCTACACCGCGAGCGTTGATGACTTTTGCGTTAAACGTTTTTCGCATTCTTTCATATTTGTTAAACCTATTATATCTATTTAAATATAAAATTACATCTCGTATAATTACATTGTCTCTCTCTCTCGTATTCTTTTCCTTTCAAACTTTCTGTCGTTCGACGCTGTACGCGTACGAGTTACGAGCGACAATCGAATTATTAAAATTACATGAAAATTGTACATATCGTTTTCTTCTTATCACACTCTTTGTATCGTTCAATATACCTAGATATTTAATATCGTTCGTTTTATTCGCGATATAGACGAGATACTGGCGTATAGAAATTACGTATAAATTATACCGTCGTATTCTTTCGTACGATACGTCTTGTTTATTCTAAATATTCTTTTCGATCGAGTTATTTATCGATAAACGAGGACTGGCAACACGCTTGTCCGGTTTTTCCACGATACGGCAAATCGCAGCGGTGTTATTTATCGCTTGTTTCGCGTGTAACTGGCATATTGCCAAAACTGAAACCGTTATGATCGATATCCGTCATTGCGGTGCTTCGACAATTTAATTCCCGCAATAATGTACTATCATCTGCAATTAAATCGCGAAATAGTGAACTTTATAGCTTTCGAAATTAATGATTTCGTGTTCTCGTGAAACGCAACCGAATATTATGGACAAAAGCGTGGTTTCGTTTTACCAAATTAATATGAATCTCTTTGATGTGCATTATGAAATTGGCATTCGTTTGCAAAGAACGTTGAAAATCGTACGCACGTCGGTTTATTTTCTAAGTTGATGAAGTTGATTGAACTGTCGCGATTACCACCGATCCGATGACTTTTACCGATCGCTCGACCGACGTACGAACATTAAACGAACGAAGGTGTATAACGATACACGATCCTTTCAGAAAGTAAAATCAGGTCGTTTTACATGTATGCGAAGCTAGTGGTTACCTCTTTTATGCAACAAACACGTTTCGTGCATACCAGTAACGCGTGATAAGTTTCAATTTGCTTCATCGACTGTGAACTACGATACTATCGTGTCACGTTTTTCGGCTTTCCTTTGTATCCTTTCGATGCGATCTCTTTTTCCATACAAACGGCGCGCACAGTCGTTCGATCCTGCAGTTTTTTAAGGGAAAACTTAAGAAACGTTTACCTAGCAGTCTCTTCCTTCGTATTTCATCACGTTTCGTTTATATTTCGCGTCACCGTGTCTCGGTCAGTTCTCTGCGTTTCTACAAATTAACGGGAACTATTTGCCGTATTTGTCGGAATTACGCTGAAAGGCTGGAATTTTCCAATCGATTTCTCTCCGATTTTCAAAATTACAAAACGATCTTGGAAAAGACAAGTACATACGCGTACTGGAAATCGTTAGAAAGTCCAAATATCTTTCTCTTTCTTTTCCATCTGAGGATAATCGTAAAAGGAAGACAGAGAAAGGCTTTTGGAATTTCAAAGAAACGATGGATACGTAACATTCGAGAAACGAGTGGAAATGGTCCCCTCGTAAAACTTGGGTCTCGATAGGCGAACACGAAAGTCGGAGAATGTCAAATCGGTTTCCCGGTTCTCGGAATACCCAAGAATCTGCTCGTTACGTCACGGTCGCCAGCTACCGATTCGTTACGATCGTTAAATCCAGCATTCCTGCCGAATCGACTGAATTTCCCAACAGAATCGCCTTAATTTCCCAACTTTTCCATGCCAGTCATCCGTTCGCCGGTAACCCGAGCCCAGAAATCACCTTTCACCAAGTCAGTCAAGTCACCCGAGTAATCTATCAACGACCGGATGATATGTTGGAAACCGCTCGAAGCTGTGTATCGCGTGTGCGATTCGAACGGTAACAAGAGAAAAGTCAAATTGGCCGTGAGGCGTCACGAGTTACCGCAATGATTTCGCAGGACATCGACAATCTGATGGCGGAGGGGAACAAGTCGAGGACGGTAGCTGCAACGAACATGAATTCCGAGAGTTCACGGTCGCACGCTGTATTCTCCGTGATCCTGACGCAAACGTTGACGGACTCGAAGAGCGGCGTCAGCGGTGAAAAGGTCTCGCGGATGAGCCTGGTGGACTTGGCAGGGAGCGAAAGGGCTGTGAAAACTGGAGCAGTGGGCGATAGGCTTAAAGAAGGAAGCAATATAAACAAGTAAAGTTTCCTTTTGTTGACGCTATACAGCTAATCGTCTAACGCGGTTAGAAAACGTTGCTTGTAATTAAATATTTACCATCCTCTAGCTTGTTAATAAGGCTAGAAGTGTTTGCGCCTGGACATATACGAGAGACGTGATAGATCGTGCGATATAAGAGAGACAAATGTTTGCAGATCCCTAACGACGTTGGGTCTAGTCATTTCGAAGCTGGCGGATCAAAATTCCGGAAGTAATAAGAATAAGGACAAGTTCGTGCCGTACAGGGACTCCGTTCTGACGTGGCTGTTGAAGGTATCGTTTGATATATTTAGAATTTTAGATGCGACCAGCTTGCTAATTGTTAGGTACACAATGGGAAAGATATGTCAGTACGGTAAAGAACGAATTAACACAAAATTACTAATATAAAGGGTGGTGAGGATGGTACTTTTTGACGCGGAGATTTTATTTTCTTTTTTTTTTTTTTGTTTGGATTATAACTTTCAATATGAAGAGATTCGTTAATAATTACAAAGTAGGCTGCAACTGTATCTAAAAAATAAAAAAATAAATAAATAAATTAAACTCCGTGGATGATAGATCGTAGTATGAAAAAATTGTAGAATTAAAATACAGTGAAATCATTAAGAAGACAAAGTTTTGCGATCGCCGACGTTTAATTAATTTTAAAAGCAACTTCTTTCATTTATAACCATGCTGTACTTTTAATTATAGGATAACCTTGGCGGGAACAGTAAGACCGTAATGGTAGCCACTATATCTCCTGCCGCGGATAATTACGAGGAAACGCTTTCAACCCTGCGATACGCGGACAGAGCCAAGAGAATCGTTAATCACGCGGTGGTCAACGAGGATCCAAATGCAAGAATCATTCGGGAATTAAGGCAGGAAGTGGAGGCGTTGAAAGAGATGCTATTACATGCAACTGTAAGATGATTAAGACTCGTTAACATCGTTGTATTAATTATGCGTTAGACCGGACAGACAAACATGGCCATTAGAGTTGGTCGATAAAAACTTGAAGAAGTTTCTTACAATTAGCCGTATTAAAAACTTGCCGTCGAAGTTTCACATTTTGTGAAGAAAATTACAAGGAAAGCGTCAAAGAGAACGATCGAGATTAATTCCCTTAAATACGAATAATGTGATATTTCAACGAGAGACGAGATTCCAACGAAGTTATGAAACTCGTCGAATCGAGCAGATTTATTTTTAAAAGAGGCGTAAATAACGTACAACATAGTTATAAACTATCGGAAATTTAATAAACTAGATAGAGGAAATAATCTTAAACCGATTCCTCGAACTTCGTACTTGGTAGTTCCATTAAAATTCATTCCGGATTTAACAAACAACTGCATTCGTAGAAGTTACTCGAGAAATAATTACTTCCGCGCTCTACTAAACTCAGGATTCTCTTTCTTCCGGAAATTCTAGGGACAAGGCTCGATAGTGGGCCAGCAACGCACAGACATAACGGAGAAGCTGTCGGAATCGGAACGATTAATGAAGGAAATGTCGCAAACGTGGGAGGAAAAACTGGTGAAAACCGAGAGGCTGCAACACGAAAGGCAGCAGGCCTTAGAAAAAATGGGAATCAGTGTTCAAGCCTCTGGTATCCAAGTGGAAAAGAACAAGTATTATCTCGTAAATCTAAACGACGACCCTAGCTTGAACGAGTTGCTAGTTTATTATCTGAAGGTACCTAAAAATTCTTAATTACTTCCGAACAATTAAGACACCCCCTCCCATTCTTAATAAGATATCGATTACGAAAATCGTTGATATATTAGTAGCGTATAATTTGATAATAAAAATATCATTTCTCAATATCTTTGTTATGTAATATGAATTTATCCCAGTAAATTGTACTAATCTTAGAAAACTGGAGATATTCGTCGTTTCTCAAATTAAATAATTGCCAAATAATATTTTACACATAGAATCACTACGTTTGCCAATTGTATCATAATTACTAGAACATTCTGTATATGTAAGTAACATAATACATAAAAAAATGTACAATATAAAGTATAAAATACATAATACAAAATATTGTGCTCGTTGTGTTAATAATTAGGAAAGGACTCTGGTTGGAGGACGTTCGGCAAAGACAGACCAAGACATTCAGCTGCACGGGCTTGGTATTCTGCCTGAACACTGTGTCATCACGATAGAGGAAACTGGCCTCTATATGACACCATTAAACGGTGCTAGGTGTTTCGTGAACGGCACTCAGGTAGTAGAGAAAACACCGTTGTTACACGGTGACAGGATCGTCTGGGGAAATCATCATTTCTTCCGGGTGAATTGTCCCAGAAGTGCAACAGGTAACGCTTAATGGATATCCCTGATTGAATTCTTTGAGATCGATGTGTGACACCCGATAGTCTGTACGTATATATGTGTCCCTCTGTTTATAGCGATCAACAGTGAGCCTCAGACGCCGGCACAGAATATTGATTACACTTTTGCACGAGAAGAACTGATGCTTAACGAGTTGTCGAACGACCCTATTCAAAGAGCTATCGCTAGACTCGAGAAGCAGCACGAAGAAGATAAACAGGTATTCTTAGGGATTGATGATGTTTGGCGGAGATTCTCAAAGATATTGTTCATATCCAACAGGGAATATCGCACATTTATTTCAAAAGTGACACAAGTCCAACAATTTTTTCAAGAAAAGTGAAGAACTATTTGGAGATTTACAAAAAAATGTTCTATTTTAACTTCTTTAATCAGTTCTAAGCAACTATTTCAGAAGCCATATAATAGTAACCTAATTAACTGTATAGTCCTAAATTTCATATTCACTTGGGAAGGTTCAGAATCATATTTTGTTATATGAAATTCCTCGATGTTGGATGAAATTGTCACAGCTGACTGTTACTTCCCAGTTTTATCTTATCAAGTACCATCAATGTGTTCCTTTATTTAGGTCGCGTTAGAGAAACAGAGGCAAGAGTACGAACGGCAGTTTCAGCAACTTCGCAACATTTTGTCTCCATCGACACCATATTCCCCTTACGTACCATACGATCCCCTGCGGGGCAGTCAAAGCAGTAAACTTCCTGCTTGCACGCCAACTACGCAAATGCGAGTAGAGAAGTGGGCCCAGGAAAGAGACGAGATGTTCAAAAGGAGTTTAGGCCAATTGAAAGCGGACATCTTAAAGGCGAACGCATTGGTGCAGGAGGCAAACTTCTTGGCGGAAGAGATGGGGAAGCAAACGAAATTTAGCGTCACTTTACAGATTCCGCCAAACAATTTAAGTCCAAATAGAAAGGTAACGCATGTGCTGGTTCTTATTGATTCTTATTACATCTTTAAAGTAATGGATTAAGGAATCTTCAGAGCTTGACTCTGGATTCTTAAAACTCGTGTTTACAACTTTTAAATAATTTGGAATCTAATGAAATTGCTTTTCCTGATCTTTTCAGATTGTTAGAAGTGAAAACTAAGAAATTTATTCGAAATATATCAGTATGCCTATGTATCAACTTATCCATCAAATACTTCAGCATAAATATTTTGTTACTTTATTAATACTTTTTATTTTATATATTTTCTGAATTCTCTATTCTTCACTCTCTTCCTTATCTTGTCTTACTTTGTGATATAATTTTGCAATTTCCCATCAATTATTATCTTTTTTTTTATATATGCACCCTCTTCGTTGTACTAATTTAATTTCCTTTTGAGTTGTATTTATTTATTTCTGTTCATTCTGCTTTCACACTCTTCGACATGCAGAGTGTATTTTTTCAGCGGGGCGCCTTCGTCAGCGAGCCTGCGATTCTAGTGAAAAGGACAAACATGGGCAGCCAGGTGTGGTCCATGGAAAAATTAGAAAACAAATTAGTCGATATGCGGGATATGTACGAGGACAGAAAGGATCCCAACAATTGTCAACGATTACCTGCCATTAAGGTATACTACCTAGTTCGTTCTAGTTTTTTAATACATTTTCGACTGGCTATTTTATCCAAAATGAGGATGAGGAAAATTGATGATATCAAAGCTAATCGGATACAATTAAAATACACACAATTTTACAAAACTTACGTGATTCTGTGCTTATGCAAACACGAGCATATTCATAGCCAGTCAGCAATGCATTAAACAGTAACTAGAGAAACTATGTAAATCTGAACGATTTCTAAATTAGGATGAAGTGCCCGGGAAGACTCAAGACCCGTTCTACGAGTCCCAGGAGAATCACAATCTCATTGGAGTAGCGAATATTTTCTTAGAGGTTCTGTTTCACGACGTTCGGTTAGATTATCACACGCCAATTATCAGTCAACAAGGAGAAGTCGCTGGACGACTGCAGGTCGAAATTAGTCGCATATCTGGTCACTTTCCTCAGGACCGTATCTGCGAGGCAGCATCAGAATCGTCGAATGACTCGACCTCGTCAGAACCTGAGGATTATTCCGGATCGAGCTTCATCACTTGTCGCGTGACCATCAAACAAGCAACTGGTTTGCCTCTGTCACTGAGCCATTTTGTATTTTGTCAATATATGTTCTGCGGACATCCAGACCCCATAGTGGTCCCAGCCATCGACAATTCCGAACAATTAACTTCGAATTGCCAGATAGGGCAGAGAGACTCTCTGGTGTTCAAGTTTAATCACACGAAAGATTTTACCGTGCCCATAACGGAGGAGTTTATCGAACACTGTAGCGGTGAGTGGTGAATCAAATTGTTTGATGTCTCAGTGATACGATAACTAATCCTATTAGGCTGCTTTCCAAGATACTTTTAGATACGTATGTAGATATGGAATTTTTAAATACATAGAAACACATTTTCATATACAGAAGGGGCCTTAAGCATAGAAGTTTGGGGACACCGAAGTGCCGGATTTTCGCGAAGTAAACCAGGTTGGGAAGTGGAGCAGCAGCTTGCTAAAGCTAGATCTCTGGCTGATCGATGGTCAGAGTTAACGCGGAAGATCGAATTGTGGGTCGAAATTCAGGAACTAAATGAGCAAGGGGAATATTCACCGGTGGATGTGGTTGTGAAACAAGATACATGGACAGGTACATTGTATACTTGTCTTTTTTAAATATATTAAAATATCGTTACGTTATAGCTCATTGCTTAGCATGTAATTCATATCTTTTTAGGAGGTATTTATCAGTTACGTCAAGGACAGCAACGACGAATACAAGTTCGTGTGAAACCAGTACAAAATTCAGGAACATTGCCCATAATTTGTCAGTCGATATTAAATATAGCAGTTGGTAGCGTGTCTGTAAGGAATCGTCTTCAGATTCCATTGGATAGTTATCAGGACGAAGACTTAAGTATACTAAGGGAAAAGTGGAGCGAAGCTTTAATGAGAAGGAGACAATACTTGGATCAACAGATACAGAAACTCATTAACAAACAAGGTATATTTTTCGTATAGAAAAAACTTCGACCTTCTATTGAAATCATTATATAATTAATATCATGTAATTGATTTCAATGTATAATTACAGATAAAACTGAACAAGATATTGAACGAGAACAAAGCCTCGTGGATCAGTGGGTCAGTCTCACAGAAGAAAGAAACGCAGTGTTAGTCCCTGCAGCAGGCTCAGGTATTCCTGGTGCACCTGCTGACTGGAACCCCCCTCCAGGAATGGAACCACATATACCTGTTCTCTTCCTTGATCTCAATGGTACGTCAAAAAGATTCTATATGTATTTTGTGGAAAATTATTCATCCTTTTTTGAACTGTCACAATTTGTTTAAAATCGTTTATATTTAGCAATACACATTTAATGATCTCTTAATAATCGAATATTCACAGCCGATGATCTTTCAACACATCAGTCGGGAGAAGAAGTCTCCGTAACCGGATTAAATTCCATCTTACCAAAGGAACATGGCAATAAATTCTACAATTTACCCATAATTCGTCGCATAGAGAAAGATGTGTGCGCTATCGCTGCTTGGGATTCCAGTATACACGACAATATACATCTGAACAAAGTCACAGATGGTAAGATATATAACAATAAAAATCTAATGTTCAAGAATTTATAATATTCGGGATCTTCAATTCTGTTTATGAATATATTTTAGCAAACGAGCGGGTTTTTTTAATTTTGAAAACAACGGTGCGCCTCTCACACCCGGCGCCAATGGACCTTGTGCTGCGTAAACGATTAGCCTTGAACATCTACAAACGGCAAAGTATCACAGACAGAATCTTCAAGAGAATCGTTCGTACCGACTGCTTAACTCAAACTGGAGTCACTTACGAAGTCGTGTCTAATATACCAAAGGCTAGCGAAGAATTGGAAGATCGCGAGAGTTTGGCACAAATAGCTGCAAGTGGCGAAGACAATAGCTTATGTGATGGTGAGACTTACATCGGTAAGTCAGCTTTGATAATACTTGCGCAAAATCTTGTACACTCAAGACCAAACACACATAAAAATATAATTTAAACTCACATGTCTGATGTTTGCATAGAAAAATATACACGCGGTGTTTCTGCGGTGGAAAGTATCTTAACTTTAGACCGATTACGACAAAGCGTCGCGGTAAAAGAATTACTGCAAGCACAGGGTCAACCACTTATGCGCAAGACAGCAAGCGTACCCAACTTCTCGCAGGTACTACTGCCTCTCCGCCGTCTCGGACGCACTGTATGCTTTTGTTTAATTTGTTTTTCTTTTTTAATCTCTATAGTTGGTATTTTAATCTCTATTCTATAGTTGGTATTTTGTGTTCCACTTTTGAGTCCAAGTATTTTCTTATTCCAGTCCAAACCAGTAGTAGTTTTAGACATTGTAGTATCATTAGTTTCAAAATTTCATTGTATTCACTATCCTGTCACTTTTTCTAAATTATCACGGTTTGTCTAGAATCATTTGGCCATATAAACACCTCAGTACACTTAACGAAGATGATATTTTAAAGAAATGTTTTCATTAACTTTTTTAATTTTGTAAATGGTTGAAGAATGTAAAAGAGGGAGGGGTCACTTGTGATGTTGTTTATAATTGGGAAAAGGCCTTGAACGGCTGATTGATTTTGGACAGACTATAGTTAAATCATACAGTATCTCCTGAGATAGAGATAAGTAACGTGATACGCCGACTACTTGCAGATCATGAGATCCGATACTTCGATGGACTCTTTGAACGTTACGCGTTCTGAAAGCGTGACTGATCTCAACACAGAGTTGAACGGGCTGCTTCATTCGCGACGTGCATCCACGGGTCACACCAGAAACGATGAGAACTTCGTTTCTGCGCCGGCTAAACCATTCGGAATCGGTAAGCAAACTTTTCATTTTTATCCATTACATTTTTCCAACGAAACATTTCCAAACAACAAATTCAGCGATCATACGTTCTATGATTTCTTAATTGCACATCCAACTGAAAGTGTATGAAATAATTATATGCTTGATATTTAACGTTGGTAACAATGAGCAATTTTGGAAGAATATATAATTTATGAAATCATAGAAGATAAATGAAATTTTGATTGATACTCAAGTTAGAAGCTAATATAAACGATAAACGAAGGATTCTTTTTTTTTTATTATTATTCACACAAAATATTCACTCATACAATTCATTTTCTCATTCATTAGTTCACCGTTCATTTTGTAGTAATCCATTTTATTAATTCGATCGATTGCATATATCACTTAATTCTTCGATTGTGTAATGGCAATAGAATTAACATGTTACTATTGTTCATAATAACTTTTAACAATATCTCCAACGGTGCTACCATAAGCACGCCAACAAAGAGGTAATTCCCAAGATTTCTTGCAAGAGAGTTCTTTTGCTACGCAAGCGTTTTTGCCATGATGTTGATGAAGGCGTAGCTAATTTAGCAAAAGGAATATTATTTTGTTTCGTTATTAACGCTGCTCTATGATCGACGACAGAGCTTGCTACCTGGGCGCAGAATTTTACGCTAAATGGATTGCTACTTTACATTAAAAGTTCGAACGAATTTTAATTATCGACGTTTTAGTTCTTTTTCTCTCTCTCTTTTTTTTTCTTTTCCTTTTACTTTTTTCTAATTTTGTTTGGATATCTTTATGACTTATAATCTTATGCGAATCCATCATTTGATTGAATGCAACATCTTAGTTTGCTTAAATCACAATTTGAATTATTAATAATATTTAAACGCTTTGATAAATTTTAATGGCACTGTGTTTTGAGGACCTTAGTCTTAGAATAATATATCGACATACGTTTTACGATCACTTCTCGTTGCCTTGATTTTTTGCTTTCTTGAATTATATTCGACGAAAAAAGTCTATTCATTCATTTCTGAAATGTGGCTTATGCAATGTTTCTTAATATATTATACATATATATATATATATTTATAAATATACCACCTTGCCATGATAGTCACTCTAAGATTTGCCCTAGTTTTTGATTGTCTTAAAATTCCACTGTTATGTCCTCCTTTGGTATTAGATATGTTGTTTCTGAATAATGGAAGATGTTCATTTCATACGTTTCCTTTTTCGTTCGTTTTTATTATTGAGATTTCATGTCATCCATCGTTAGCGTTTCCTTATATCGTGTCCACTGGAAATCAAATTTACTTCTATCTTTAAAATAAAAAGAGTTTTCTCTATATTCGTTTACAGAAGCGTTACGCGTGCTCTTTTGATAAATTTTGCGTTTAGGATAGATCAAAATATTGCAATATTTTAATGGAAATTTTCAGAAAATACTCGATAACAAACCGTACTATTTGTTAATTCACCGATATTATTTCTAATATTAAATAATATTAATTAATATTTCTAATATAAAAAAAATGAGATTTCCAAGTAATAAAAATTCTATGAAATTCTACTGAATTCTATGTATGAAAAAGAAGAACACCATACAAGGAAATCGCTCAATCACTTAGAACAGACACGATCAAACAGATCGATCACTCTCCTTAACGATGTTTGGTAAAACCGATCTCCCTCTTAGCGAATTACCACTACACATTGGAACTTCGTATTTATTCTATTTACAGCTTCTATCATACTGTTATGTCACCACGCTATGTTCAACTTTTACGCACGATTTTTGCCACTATTTAGCAACGTTTATTAAAGCTTTCCTAGTAAAAAAAAATCACATGAACCGTGATATCATGCAAGAAAGGGGAGAGAGAGAGAGAGGGAGAGAGAGGGGCGGGCCTAAAGAGAGTTGAGCATGGTAAAAAGAAAAACGACCTACTGTTTTTTTCTTCAGATCCGCCTTTACTATAGCGTTTATTAGCAGCGATATTTACAAAAAAAAGCTCCACCACTTGTTACAGAGCCTCTTTGATAACGTTAATTAACGAGCCTTATTGATAATCAGCAGAATTTTGTAGCAAAATTAACACGAACGAGTCCAAGCGATTATATCAATAATACGCAACTTATATCTCTGTTCCTCTGTTTATAACACTACGTCTACTACTTCTACAACTATTTCGGCCCACGCAAGGCTCCATTCTGAACTCAGGTAAAATGGAGTCTTGATTGATATTTGATTGATGCCGTAACAGGCAGTGACGATTTAGTATATAAATATGTCTCGTGAGTGGTTGAGTCTGTCTGTTGTTTTAGTTCTTCCAGTGCGCCTTAAATATATATATATGTGTATATAGTGTGTCGATGGTGCTGCACTTCTATTTTCTTTCTTTTTTTTTTTTTTGTGATCCTAGCAATGTTCAGAACCAGAAGTGATTCATATCATCAAAGAAAATACAAGATTTTCATGATTTTCTATTTGTTTCAAGCTCTTATTATCATAGCATCAAAATCAAATTATGTGTATTGTAATACACATGGACTAGGGATAAAAACAAAAGAACATCTTAAACCTATCGATTAAATCTATCGATTGTATCTAGAATTATCTTCTAATTACTATTTATTGTAACTAGGGCATCTGCATATAGATAGCGAGCGTGAACTCACGTTGTCATTTTCAATAAAAATCGTATTACGAATATTTCGCTTCAAATGATCTAAACTCTAGTTCTGAAAATTGCTGATGCCTTCTCTGTCTATGTGTCTATGTGTCGAACGCTGTTTCATTGCAACGAGAGCAAATGCTGTTTTAGTTTCACGATTTTACTGTTGCATGCCGAATGCGTTTCCTTGTGTGCCTCTAAGCAAGCATATATCGGCTCGTCTATGTTCATGCGGACTGTTTCTCTTTGGCTCACATCTTTTACACGATGATTTGTCTGCGTTGCTGATCATGATCGACGCTTAACGAAAGTCACGTCAACGCATTGCAAACGCAAGATGAAAGAACGATCTTCTCTCGTGTCTATCGCAGTATCTATCAGAGATCACCATGCGTAGAAATCATGTTCACTAGCACTGTATATCACGACTATGATTATCTATAATCTATACTATACTATATCACGAATCGCAGTCGAAAAGCATGGGTATTTGAACAATTCTTTCGCAAAAGTTTTTTACTAGAATAGAAACGATTTCTATAGTTCTGTTTTTCTTATCTTTTTCTTTTTTCTTATTTTTTTTTTTTGAAATCTTTTTCTTCTTTTTATCGACGACTCGTCGAAGTTTGAGACAAGAAACAAAATTCGTAACGTTCGACGAGTTATCGATATTGGTATCTATGTTTTAAGACTGAATTTAAGAGTGAACCAGCGTGCATAAGATGTTTTTCTTTTTTCTATCATGATCGAATTATAGTCGAAGAGTAAAAAAAGAACAAATTGAGAAAGACGAATAAGATGGCTTGTAAAGTTGTTCTACTTTTACTGTCTCTACCTGTGAATGTGCTATTAAGCGATATTTTAGAAACAGACGTAGGGTAACTGTATCATATATGTGTACATATATATATATATATATATAAATATTTATTGATTAATGATTTAGGTGGACGTGCTTCTGAAAAACAATTCAGGATCTTTCTTTTTTTTTGTATTATGAATATTTCCTTAATTAAACGATATTGTTGGTCTTAATTAATTAAAGCAACTAAATTGTTTTTCATTGAAGCGAAGAAGAAGGAAGAAACTTACAAGTAACTAAGAAAATGGGAAGATATATCTCAAAGAAGGGAATAAATATTTATTCGTATTTGGAAGAAGAATTTAGCCAACTATTCTTTATGACGAAAGACCCATTTTCTTTATCCGCAGGAAGAATTAGTTTAAAGTCGAACGAAGCGAAGAAATACAAGCAGACAAGTTGAGAATGGCGTAGGGGGCAAAATTAAGAGTAATTTAGTACTGCATGAGATTATTGTTTCGGCCATAGTGAAGCATGCTTTGCGGGAGGATAGAGTCTACATATTTAATGCTATCGACTGTACAGTAAAAATCCAAGGAAGATACCGCATTGAGAAGAGCTCGAGATCAATACCACTTTTGACTTTAAACTAATAAAATGCTATCGTTAGCATACTTTATGACAAATCCACGATGCATATGAGATCATAAATTACGATCAGATCTCTTCGTTAATGATATTTCTACGTTAGTTTCCTCTGGATAAATTGAAATTTCTAATCGTACGAAATAACTTTGAATTTTAGAAGATTCCTAACAAATATCTTCTCGAATAAGATCAGGAAAAATATATTTCGAGTTTTAATCAACGTATCGGTGCATTTTGGATTGGTTAAAGAATGGCGAGTTAAATCGTTTCACGTGTACAAAGAATCTCAAAATGAGAAAGCAACGAAGAAACGATTTGAAATTGTACCTCTGCAATATTTTCTACTAAATTTTACAAATATTTGTACGCGGCTGTAATAACTGCTGTCGACACGAATATCTTCGATATGAGACGCAAAAGGTGTACATCGTACGCTGATCTGGTTTGCCTGATTGTATCAAGTGTCTTCTAGCCTACAGGCATGATCGATCACGCGTGACAAGCCTGCAAACAGAAAGAAAGAAAAATAAGAAAGGTTTTGTCGAAGGCTCGCCATTAAGAGGAGAACAAAAATGTAGTGTTTAGCGATCGACGAGAAAAACCGAGTGCCGTGTAATCAGTACGTCTATCTCCTTTCAGCGAGACCAACCTTCCTGAATTTGAACCTGAATCTCAACTCATTGACACGTCTGCAACAATCCACCTCTGCCAAGTGTAGGTGACACTCGCTGTTGATGGCTCTTTCGAACTGGCATTGCCACGAGAATTCATCGATTTTATTTCAAATTATTCGTGTAAATTCTCGCGGAAATTTCGTATCTTTCGTAAGAATGCGAGGATCTATGGATCCTCACCTCTGAAAGAATCGAAATGGTCCAGGGGTTCAACGCAGCTCGAGAATAAGTTGGCAGATATTTTAAGGAAAAAAGTTTCCTCTATTCATTTTTGATGCAATTTAAGCCTTTCTCCAATATTTTCTATCAAACGTCTTATCTTTCTGCTTCGATAATAGAATAGTAACGTATATATATATATCAGTGATAAGGTAGAATTTCATACTCTTAGCTTTCACATTCAGCAACGAAGCTAACAATAGTATCAATAGATGGACACTGCTAAGTATTAGAATTTTTCTAGAAGCTAATTTACTGGAGAAAGGATTAAAAATTAATATTCGTTGAATTTAATGAATTTCTGAAAATCGTCGACTTCCTAAATCAATGTGGCGAGTTTGAAAGAGTCCATTCGATCATTCTCGTAGTGATTAGTAGATCGTTTCGTTTCCTTACTCCTTATTTCGATTATTACGTAGCACTACGATAACAGATATCGATAAGAATCACGATTCGTTTTCTTTTTCTTCTTTTCTTCCGTATTTATCATTTTTCTCCGTAGTTATTGTCCTTTATCGGAACTGCAGCCTCGCTGTGCCGCAGTGCATAGTCTCCGTATGTGTTCGATGTTTTATCGCTTTCGATTACCATACGGTACCTTTCTCGCCCTCTGTTTTACGTTTCTTCCAGGCTGCCTTATATTCCACGTATTTATGTGCTTGGATCTTCCGAATCTTTATAGTATCTTCATTTCGAGCACTTACTTCGATTCTCGAGTACAAAATTTGGCCTCACATGGATCATTCTGACACGTACAGAAACACACACGTTTTATCAGAAGTAAAACGAAGAAATATACTGTTAGGTGCAAGACGAGAAACAGTCGAACATTATCAATACACGAAATTAGCGTATAGGATGAGACACGTGACCGAAAACATTTTGATAATTACGCAAGTACTAATTACAGACTGTGGATTTTTATGGAAATTACGGGAAATTTGTAAATGCAAAAACGTACAGAACGCAATATCAACAAGACAATAGTACAAGGACACTTTGTGAATAAAGAATAAAAGATAAATGATAATTTAATTAGAAAAAGAAATCGTCGAATACGTGGAATATACCCGTTTATCCTTTTCATTCTTTTTTTTCTTTTTTCTTTAGGAACAGCATGGACCACATTCCTTTTGTTCGATATTATTGCAATCACTGATAAATGTGTATCAGAACCGACCTGGCACCTTTTAGTGTGATCATAAACCCGATTAAATGGATGTTTGATATGTTGGAACCCAAAAGAAGGAATAAATCTAAATAAACGGGCAATCACAAATCAATCGATTCTTCCCTTTTACTTTTAATCAATTTTTCTTTATTCACGGTGGCCAGATCGGCCCTGATATTCTTTACAATTTCTCACAGTCTTCGCAAGTGCGATATAATCACATGCGACTTTTATTGACTTGATAATGTTCGTTTTTAGCATCTCCGAATATGGTCGGTGGCAAATTGGGTCTACGAATGACCACTCTGCACGAGGAAACATCGAACACTGGCAACCAGTTGTCGACGCCCGTACACGACGAGGACGAAGAGAAGAGCGACGCTGATTACTCGGAATACGACTCGTACCAGGTAGTACGCCTTTTTAAATTTCGAAAATACATTGGAAATAGTTTATACTTGAATCGTTGTCTTTGTTACGTGATCGATATATTCGTATTCTATTAAAAAAAAAAAAAAACACTTATATATAACAAATTACCATTTCGAGTCTTAAGTTTGAAGTTTCTACAGTTTTAGTTAAGCTTTGAAATTTTTGCTAGATTCGATCATCTTCGTAAAGAAATATTTGATTTATTATTCGTATATCGTATATCTTATCATTTATCTGAATAATTTCTATGCAGTTTTAAAATTTGATGAATTTAAACTTAGAGGAACAAAACGCGAGGAGCATAAAATGTGAAAACGGATCGTCTATGGTCAGACACGCTCTTGCAGTAAACGTAACAAAAATTGTGGTATTTCTATTTTCTTTTGAAAGAACGATACCACGAAGTTTGTATTCATATGTTGGCGAACGATTCTAATAATTAATTTCTTAAAAAGCAATTCTTAGAAGACTTAACCATTAGAATATCACAGACAGTGAAATTGTTAACTTTGTTTAGAGAAGAAACATTGTATCTGTATCTAGAGATCTGAATCCGTGAAAAGAAACGGTACAAAAATACAAATGCGATTAAATACTACTACAGGTATAAAAATGAACAAATCGTCGAGAAAGATCAAGTACAATTGTTTCTCCTCTTTCTGTCTACGATTAGAAAAAAGTTATTAAGTCCCACGATATCATCTTTGTCACAATCAAATCACACGCGATTACGTTCAGGCACCGGCGAAACCAGTAAAACCGCTAACTTCTTCACGCACACTGGATTCTCTTGTCGAACTTCAATCGACGAAGATCAACACGCCAAGCATGAGCAGCAGCGGCTACGGTTCACAAGCGGTGTCTACGACCAATCTCACGTCCGAGGACTCCATCTCCGTTAAATCTATCAGCGTGGACGAGACACCAGACCTGGAATACAGAAATCTGTTGGATTATAAGAAACCAGAGAGAATGGACAGCTCACTGGTGGAGGAAACGCCGGAGGAATATATGGGTGAAGTGACTAACGCGTTGGGCAACTTAAACGTGATGGAGAACACTTGCGGCGAGGGTTAGTTGAATGGCTCTCGAAAGAGCAAATACTTAAAGTATACATTCTTGTTAAGATGAGCGTCGCGTGAAATAGTTACTGAGAGATTGTATCGTAAGGGAAGAGTAAGGGAAGAATAGTCGAAGTTTAACAGTTTAATGAGAACAGAAGAGTTTAAAGGTTGTTGTTTGCTATTTCAGATTTACTTAAAATCCAGGGATTGATAGATCTTTATGCATTTATGAGAAATTTGAAATCCGTTTTTAGAAAACGTTTAGTATACAGTTTCTCTCCCCATTGATTTAATATTTTTTTTTTAATTTTATAAACATACAAACATATATGCAAAATGGATCTTTTGTATATCGCAGAACATACTAGAAAGAACTTGGACGAGACAGGTGCCTACATGGACGCAGACATCGACAGTCCGGTTTCTTCGACGAAAAGCGATGGCGATGCAAATACCAATGTGTCGCGTACAAGTTCTACTCATCGTCAGAAGAAGGATATACCAAGTCAGGGTTTGAGCAACAGAAGGAAAAGCGACATGGAGATTAGTCAGGCATCGAATTCTGGAGAAGACAGCCCTCTGGAGGGTAGCTCGGTTGTACACACGAAGCTACCACCAGGAAAGGTAATGTTAATATTTAAGCTATTGAACGAACATATATATCGCGTACATTATTCGTGTCGAATTGACTAATATGTCAAATTAAATCGACTAATCTTATAATGTTAATCTGACGATTACAGGTCGTACGTCGAAGGAAAGCTTCTACTAGTACAGGAAGGCCTACGAGTTCTCAGCACAGGGCTTCATTCCCCATGGTCCGTCCACAAGTTTCAGAGAGCAAAGCAGCAGCACGACTCGAACAATCAATGCAACCTAACATTCCCTATGAGAACGGTGACAACAGCTCCTCTGAACGAATCGATGGTAAATAACTATTGATAGCAACAAAGTAACTAGCGTTTGTTAACGAATCTTTAATAAAATTTCGCCTCTGTTTCTATAAAAATTTAATAGACGACGTGAGCGACAAGAGTTCAGCTTTTGGATCGAGACACGACTTAAGTAGAGTCGAAACTCCGCTCCCGGATTGGGTTATAGTTGGTGAATCGGTGCTGGTTCGCCCATACAGCTATTCTGGTGTCATAGCGTACGTTGGCCCAACAGAGTTTGCAACCGGGACGTGGATAGGAGTTGAACTCGATGCCCCGACAGGTAACGTTCGCTTTTATTATCTTCACGTTTCTATTAAATAAAAAAGAACGTTTTTAATAGATAAAAAAAAGAAAAGTAGTTGAGGAAATTAATTTCATTGTTACAGGTAAAAACGATGGTGCTGTGAATGGCCATAGGTACTTCACGTGTCGACCGAAATGCGGTATCTTCGTTAAAGTGGACAAACTAATTCAGGACAAACGTGGCCGAGCACTTAGAAACTATGTCTCTGTCCCTCAACCTGCACCGATGCGTCGAAGCGTCAGCAGAGGTACGAAGAATATTTTATATAAAAAGCTATAACAGAATAACTTAATGTGCAATTATTACAAAATAATCAACTACTTTCTTTTAAATTCGAAGATAAACTCTGCAAACGAGAAGATAAACTTGCACGACGTAGCGAAATTAATAAAAACCTGGCAAAAACTTAGAAATATTACGTCTTCCGAGTGCTTTGAAGTATTATAAATTTATGCCAATATATAATCGAATGCTCCAGGTGAGGGTTTACATTCCTTGCACCGAAGTCGAAGCCGAGGGGAGGGCCTTTCAACGACAGGCACGCGATCTTCTCCACGGGGCAAGTAAACGGATCACAACGCCGCTTCACCAGTAACTTCGTTCTACTAATAAGCCACTAAATATCCTAATTGCTACATGCCTATGATATGTGTAGCAGCAGTGTTTCAGTCCCTTAGACATTAGGGCAGTTATGGATTAATTAATACTTATAAATATTACTTGAAATATTAGGTCATTGTAATGTGTATCACACAAAGCATGGGACGTTCTGTCAAAGAAACTTTTTTTCTGGTGTTTTTTTTTTTCTCGAACAGAACATGCTGTTCTGAAAGCATAGTATCTACAACTACTTCGCATCTTCAGTAGCATAGCGAGAGCGAGAGAGAGAGCGAGTATAGCGCGAAAGGGAGAGAGAGAAAGAGTGAGAGAGAATGAGTATTAAACAAAAAGCGCAAGAAACATCGATACGAAGAAAAGTTTCGTCTTTGCGTATCGAAAGTCAGCGAACGATGTTCAATCGAATATATATAGTATATATATATAATTTGTAAGCATTCCACAAAAAACTTTTAATTTTAACGACTGGGATGATGAGCCATTTACTTTTTACATAAGACGAAGCATCATTTAGTTCGCGTATTAATTGTACATTTTTTAATACTAATTGAAAAAATAGGGAAAAACAGAGTCAGTTATTTTGATCGTAATCTTCTACCATTGGTGGTAAATCAAGGCTCGTTTTAAACAATAATATTCCATAATTTCTAAGCATCGATTGCATTTAAAAGAAAAGAAAAAGAAACAGAATAAATATCGACACGAATATTAAATATATTACAATATGTACAATAATCATATGAATTAAAATAAAAAAAAAAGAAATAACAATTTGGCAATTTTATGGAAATTGCCAGTGAATATATATATAAATAGACAGAATATGAAAGACACTCTCCAAAATTGCCGGGCCGGTAATTTGAAACAATGGAGATGTAGCCAACAGAGGAATAAATCACACGGGACGGCCAAAAACTAAAATAAATGTGAAGATGATGATTCTTTTCATGAGACACGAATTTACCGCGTTGCGTAGATTATTTAAAGATTTTATATGTATACAATTGTTTCATATATATTGTATTTTTTTAGCGCAATCTGTTAAGTTCCTTTTTATTGTAACATACAATTATTGTCCTCTGTCCAGCATTACGTTGTTAACGCGAACATGACACGCAATTAATTTATACGGCGCAAAAGTGTATGGAAGAAACTGTGCGTGTTGCATGACGATATAAATTGAAGATAAAAAAAGAAATTCACATTGGCTATCGTCTCTGTCGTAAGTGATTGTCAGTGTTGGTCATCGATCGATTAAAATCTTAACAAATTAGACACAAGTTATTCTTGCGTAACAGCAACTAGTTTGTTGATAAAACAAGCGAAATTTTACAAATTACGAGTTATCCGTTTCTGTATATTATAAAATCATAAAAAACAAATATCGTACACTAATATTATTAATTGCTAAAATATCGTGCAAGAAGATCCACAGAGCAAGGATAATAAAAAAAGTCAACGTTTCTTACAAATGTTCATAACAAAAGACGATTGAGAATGCAATATTACATTATAGTGTTCCAAGATTAAATAGCAATTTTAATCGTTAATTGTGATTACACTTAGTTGAATGAAATTTTCATCGTCAATGACAATTAATTGTAATCATTGATTATCAATTACGTAGTAGTTGCCCGATGCTGGCATTGATTCACAACAATCGATTCGCTGGCTAATGTGAATCGTCTCTGAGTGCAACACGATCACATAGGGTCGCAATACTAGATTCGTAAGTTTTAGATAGTAGAGATCGAATTAAAGAAAATGAAAAAACACACGAGCTTGCTTGATCGTATCTTGAATTAGCGTCACGTCAAACTGCGTTGATTCGACGTTATTTCTTTCTTTCTCTGTTCTTTATCGTGGCGAATTGTCCACGATTCGTTGCACTTGACTCTTCTTGATTCTTGGCTGAATTTTCACCGCGAAACGACTCTAATATACATATATGTATATATATTTGATACATTTCAAACGTGATTTTTGCTCAGTACGACGATGACGATACTGATTTCTCGTTCGACAATGAATTAAATAAAAAAAAAAGAAGCGAAGAAGAAGAAGAAGAAGAAGAAGGAGATAAGCAAAGCACTGTGAAAAGATATAACGGCGATAGATGGTCAAAGGTGTCGCGTATAAGAGAAAAATCAAACGACGGTATCGCATATTTTTTTTAATTTATCGAATAGATCGTGTGGAGTACAAGAAAGATGCGAAAATAGAAAGAAAGGAGGGGGGGAAAAGGTTAAACGTGTAACGAAGAAATGAACGTCGAATGAAAGAAGCTAATTAATCATCATAAAGATTAAGATATAATCGTAAAGAAACGAAAGAAAAGAAAGAAAAAAGAAAGAAAGAAAATTCGCCCAAATTGTGAACATCAACCAAAAAGAAAAAAAAAAAAAGAAAAAAATAACCATAACAAGAACAACAACTTCTGTCCAATTAGAACAATACTAAACGCTATCAATAATGAACATATATTACTGTATGTAATACTTATTGAATATAAATAATAAACTCTCGCCTGCGACGCGACGTTTCCTTGGTCATACGGCGATTAAAAGACGAGAGACTTGCGGTTGTTGCTTTCGTGTGCACGCGTGTTATCATAAACGAATAGAATAAACGAAGTAAAGATGGTAAAGATAAAAATACGAACGCGTATTTTACACGAAAGGGAAACGCCGCGGGCGAAGGTATCTCTGTCCATTTTTTGGTAATTCAAGAATATTAATGATGAAAGAAAATTAAGACTCACAAATGTCACAGTGATGCTACATGCCTACCTGGCATATAGGATTAATAGAGTCTCCTTTAAGTTTCAAACAACGCGTTACACTTTTCTGTTCTTTTTTTCTTTTTTCTTAGGTTCTTTTTCTCCGCTATCGTTACGATGAGAAATTATATACATACATAGAATTGAAACATAGTAAAATTTAATTTCTAATAATTGTAAAATGTTCGATCGTCTGCTTATAAATATTTTCTAATAATTAACTAATTTTATTGTAATAGCTAAAAATTGTACATATATGATTACTTTCGTTTTCTGTGTTTTCTTTTCTTTTTTATTAATTTTGTCTGTTCATTTCCAATTATATCTCGCAGTGGAGCATCTAGCATCGACGGAGCTTACACAGCCTATTCCATCCCACGATAAGACAATGTCCATTTTTATCGTTATTAATTATCTAATATGATAATCGTTCAACAACTATACTTTGTACCCTAACGGATCCTAGAATAATATTTTCGACCAATCGGTTTTACGAATGTCTCTGGAAGACTTCCGAGTTTAACATTATCCCTTTCATCTGAAAGCAAAGCTGCTGCAGCCACAGACAAACACACACAACACACGGTCTAAGTTCCAAACGAAAATCAGTGAGAAAGAAACGAATAAAATGATGAAAGAAAGAGACGAAGACGCGAACAAGTGAAATAAATAAACAACGTTGAAACAAAGGGTCGCACGGGTCCATTTTTTTCAGAGTATTAAAGAAAAGAAAAAAAAAAGTAACAAGACGTAAAATAAAACGCCCTGTAATCTAATCGATTCTCCTAACTATAAAAAGGCTGTGAGACTAATCTTTTGCTGTTTTACGCTGCTCCCTCGTTTTTCTACCCTCGCACTGCTGCCGATTGCATACGCGCGACTTGTGCACGGTACCATTTTACGCGTCCATCAGGCTAGCCATTTTGGCTGGACTTCTCAGAAAGCTGGCATAAGCTCCAACTAAAGAAAACAAATCTTCTTCGTTATTTGTGGAAAGTTTCGCGAGACAATGGTGAACGTGTTATGCCGAAGAATTTTAAAAGCGTAAACCATTTTTGGGAAGTGTGAGTCGAGGAGGTATTTGAGTACTTTTAATTAATAAGTTAAATCTGTACTCTAAATTATATGTCTGTTTCGTACTTCAAATTGTGGAATAGACTTGAGAATATTTTTATTTATGAATAATATGATCATGAAGACTATGTTGATAAAAATTGAAGGTAATTTGAAGTATGTGATGAAATTGGAATGTTTAACTTGCAGTAACCTGCTTACATATTTCTATATCTTTTACATTCTCTTTTATTTGTTTATCATCGTAATATGGTATTTTATTATCGCGTCATTAATTTAAAGATGTTCGTGTTACGATATAATCATCAGAGCATTGTTATACTTGTTGATAAACGATAATCAATCTGCGATTGATGAGTATTAACGAGTAATAAGTTAGAGAAACAATTAATGTTTACAAATTCTAATAATAATTTGATTAACTCAACTCTGGTGCTTTGGTTTGTTAAATACTTTGATTACAAGTACTCCAATACACGATTAATGATTGGCTTAAAGTAAAATTATTCGCGTTTCCATATTTCAGAGAACTGACAAACATCTGTCTACTAAATAGTCGAAATGCTAAAGGATAGCAGTAAAAAAGAAATTGGAAACTTTTGACTTCTTTTCTCCCAAGAAAGTTAGCAAGAATTTAACAGCACGTCTACCAGAAACTTATTTAAAATATCTTTACGGTGTATTAAATATTGTGTAGTAACGTACAAAGTATTTATCAACTATATTGCTTTCATTGGGAGAACATAAAACATACCTTTTTTTCATCAGGCAACAGTTTATCAATTAAAATTCATTTAATTCTTAATGGTCCATGTGCTAAATTATCGAAATCAAGGATGAAAAATAAGTAAAATAAATAATTTGATACAGCGAAGGAACATACGAAATTTGTATTCATGGGTGATAACCACCAAAATAGCGTTTCTAAAATTGAAAAAGAGATATGCCGAAATATTACAATAAAAGATTGCCACTCTATTATACATTAATATAATCCAAGTAAAAAGTATTTTATATTTAATCGATAAAAATATAATAAAACAATGCAAGATGATCTCTAAACTAATATAAGGAAATCAATTATACTGCTACATAATATTTAATTGCACTTAATCGCCCAGAAACTTTCCTACAGAATCCTAATTGCTATACCCGCGGAGCCTGCATTTTCCAGTGTCGTCAATTAAACGCGAAGTGCGAGCATGTTAATATTGAATTCGGAACTCTTCTAAAAACGCTTGACGGTGAGAGACTGTTCGAACGATCATCGCTAAATACATTAAACGAAACAAAAGAAAAAAAAAATAATAAGAACTCACATATGTACATGTATAATGTAAGCGAGTCGAGATTGGTGTTATATTTTAATATAATGTGTAAAAAAAGAAGAGCAAATAACAAAAGACAAAGGAGGTATGTGCGCAAACGAAAAAAAGATGCCATCAGACACACACACCGGTATTTAGACGTTTATCGACACAGTATTGTAAGAAAATTGTAGCTACGATGTGCACCAGCTTCACGATAACTCCAGACACCCTCCACCTCCATATTTCCTCACCATCATCCCTTTGATTGTTGTTATTGTATTAGCGATACCGAGACCGACACTCTGTACATTGCAAATCGAATCAATCTGTACGTCGAACATGGTGCGACCAAATAGAATTGTCGACCGTACAATTTTCGTTCATTGTACCTTCTCGAATCCTCGATCTTCGGAAACACGTGTGTATTCTGTTCTAATTTACTTCATAGGGAACAATTGTACGGTAAATTGTCTCCTATCGAGTAAATTATTGTCTCAATTGCTATTGAAAATTATTGTTTCAATGAGACGTTTGAATCCATGACTTTATACAAATTTAATACTGGTATACTTGGATATCTCTGTTGATCGCGTTGATGTATTTGAATACTGGTACTTAACGCAATGAATTAGGCGCATTGGTGATATATGATATTACTGCCTCTGAAATATTAAACAATTGATGTTTAAAATTACTCAAATATTTGGTATTCAACATTTTGTGGTACCCGAATATTGGTATTTAATAATCCAAGCACTCGAATACCGGTAATATCAGTAACTTTTGGTATTTGAATATCATTATCTTGTATTCTAGTGGAATCGAATACCGATACTTGGTATTTTTAAATACATGAATATCAGTATTCGGTATTTTTGGGTGTTCGAGTACAAGTATTTCGAATATCAGAAATCTGAAGTAATTTAATATTGGTACTCTGTATTCTGAGGTATACTAGAATATGAAGGTTAAATATTCTAGAATACTTGAATATCAGTATACTGAGTCATTCGAATATTAAATACTAGTTACATCACTGAGATGTATAATCGGAAATTATAAACATTTCAGTTACAAAGAACAAACTTACTTACATAATTACAAAGTAACTTTTGTTTGAACAAATCATAGCATAATTAGTATTGTCCCATTCAAATTGATCGCCAGCGATCAAAATATTCGCATGAAAAGAAAAGAACATGGAATACATGTACGTTTATTCCGATTGATCGAGGATTCACCCTGTAATAACGTAGAACTCCTCTTCGGACGAGTAGGACGAGAAAAGTTAATAAGAAAAAAAAAACGATTGATACTAGATTGTAAGGATTTTGGGAATTCTCTGTAGAT